AGTAGTAGTAGTAGTAGTAGTAGTAGTAGTAGTAGTAGTAGTAGTAGTAGTAGTAGTAGTAGTAGTAGTAGTAGTAGTAGTAGTAGTAGTAGTAGTATGATTAGTAGTAATAGGAGCATTATATGAGGAATCAAACCAAGTAGTTGTTGTGGAGCGAGATGACGGTAGCGAGTGTACCAGTAGTTGGACCACTCGTCCCTACATTAGTATTAGTAGCGGGGTGGCCAGGCCATTGCAGAAGTATATAGCTGTTTGCGGCAAGCTCCGTTGAGGCCTACTTGTGCCGTTTTGACACCCTCTTGGGGCTCTCTTGGGACGTCTCTGGGCTCTCTTGGGCCGTCTTGGGGCCTTCGTGGGTCTCCCTTCGCCATCTGGGGCATCTGTTTTGTTTTTCTGGGGAATATGTTGGGGTCCTCTCGGGCCGTCTTGGCCCATCTTGGGTTGCCCTGCGGCCCTCTTGGGGCCCTGTTGGGGCTCTCTTTGGGCTGTCCCGGCCCGTTTGGGGGGTGGGACCCTCATGGGGCTCCTTCGACCTCTCCTTCTCTGAGGCCCACCTGGAACCAGGGAGCGGGGAGGCCGGGACACCCAAAACGCTGAAGACCTAATGAAAGTCATAAGTTTGGGTTTCCGTCTTTTGGTCATGGTTTTGGTCATCCTGAAGGGCCTCTTACAGTGGAAATCCATGCCAAGAAGCACCCTGCTTGCCTCCAGGGTGCCCTGGGTTTCGTGGGTTTCTATGGTTTTGCCATGGGAAAAGTGACTTCCCCACAGTGACTTCCCCACAAAAAATCAATGGGTGTCCTGGGGTCTCAGGGTTGGGTTTCTTGTGGAAGGTTTCTTGTAGTCGAGCTCCTAAGTGACTGCACAATTAGAAGGAGAAAAAACGCTACACACGTAAACTTAGGTGGCCCAAGCTTGCCTCCAGAGGCACCCCACAGGCCCGAGAAAGAGATCCCAAGACGCGCCGAAGGGGTCGCAAGGCGCTTCTGAGATGCCCAAACAGAAGGCCAATATCAGACTGCACTTGGCATTCGACCACGCCTCAACGCGCCAAGGGGCACGGGTGCGGATTTCCAGTCCAGTTTGTACGTTTGTGTCACATCGTGACTCCAGAACGGCACGTGATCCCGTGCCGTCTGCCTGATGTGTGCCCCTTCTTGTTTGTACAAGCGCGTTTCGATCAGACCCAGCCGCATGATGTAGACGTCGGCCATTCCACAGCCAGAGTGGCGCAGCCTGGTCGAAGGATCTCTGTTCGACCGTCGCTCAGCCTTCTCTTTCTTGGAGCTGCCTACAGGGACGCCGTCGCAATGTCAACAAGATTCTGTGTCGCTTCCTCCTACTCTTCCTCCCCCCCCGTCCTCTTCCTACTCCTCCTTCTCCTCTTCCTCTTCATCCTTCTCCTTCTCCCCGCTCCCTCCCTCCCTCCCTCCCTCCCCCCCTCCTCCTCGTCCTCATCCTCTTCCTTCTCCTCCTCCTCCTCCTTCTCCTCCTCCTCTCCCCCGCCCCTTCTCCTCCTCCTCCTCGTCCTCCTCCTCCTCCTGCACCTCCTCCTCCTCCCTCGTCTCGTCCTCCCCTCCTCCTTCCCCCCGTCCCCCCACTACCCCTCCTCCTCCTTCTCCTCCTCCACCTCCTCCTCCTCCTCCCCTCCTTCTCCATCGCGCACCTCCTCCCCTCTCGTCCTCCTCCTCCTCCTCCTCCTCCTCCTCCTCGTCACATGGTCAGCAGTGTCCACGACGCGCGGGTGGCCCCGTGCTGGGTGTCTGCCGATGTCTGCCGCGCGCCGCCGCCGAGGTGTGAAGAGACCCTTTGCGGCTCCCTCCTCCCCCCACCTTCTGCCCATCTCACCCGCTTTTCCTCCTCCTCCTCCTCCTCCTCCTCTTCTCCCTCCTCGTCTCTCCCTCCCCTCTTTTTTTTTTTTTTTTCTCTCTCTCTCTCTCCTGCTCTTCCCCGCCCCTCCTCCTCATGCTCCCACCGTGCTCCCTCCTCATCCCCCCCCCCAACCTCCTCCGTCCTTCCGTCCGTCTTTCGCTGCCTCCCCTCCTCCCTCCCTGCCTTCCCTCCCTGCCTCCCTGCCCTCCATCCCTCCCCAACGAGGCCGTGGGGCACTCGAGTGGAGGAGGAGGGGGAGGAGGGGGAGGATGAGGAGGAGGTCCCCACCTCCGTCGCTCAGGGGGACCTCCGGACGTTTGGGCCATGGTCCCGGGTCCTTTGCTGGCCCGCCGCCCGGACACAGGCCCCGTGGCACTCCCGGCCTGGCCGCGAGTTCTCTTGCTGTGAACTCACCCTGCCTGCCTGCCTGCCTGCCTGCCTGCCTGTCTGCCTGCCTGCCTGCCTGCCTCCTCCTCTTCCTCCTCCTCCTCCTCTTCCTCCTCCTCCCTCCCCCCCTCCCTCCCTCCCTCCCTCCTTCTCCTCCTCCTCCTCCTCGTCCTCCTCCTCGTCCTCCTCCTCCTCCTCCTCTTCCTCCTCCTCCTCCTCCGCCTCCGCCTCCGCCTCCTTCTCCTCCTAACTCGCTACTCCGCCTCCTGCTCCCACTCCTCTTCCTTCTCCTCTCTCCCTCTCTCCTCCTCCATCCCCTCCTCCTCCTCCTCCTCCTACCTCCTTCCTCCTCCCCCTCTCCTCCTCCTCCTCCTCCCTCCTCCTCCTCCTCTCCCCTCCTCCTCCCTCTCCTCCTCCCTTCTTCTCCCCCTCCCCAGACCCCCCGACGCCATGATTCTTTCATGACGTCGACCC